TGTGTGGTGAACATACATGCAGGCTAAACACTTATATATATATATTTTTTTCTTTTTGGTTTTTTGAGACAGGGTTTCACTGTGTAGTTTTGATGCCTGTCCTGGATCTTGCTCTGTAGACCAGGCTAGCCTCAAACCCCAGAGATCCTCCTGGTTCTGCCTCCTGAGTGCTGGGATTAAAGGCATGCACCACCACCTCCCAGCACATAAAATATGTGAGCTCTGTACTCTCTCCATTTTTAAGAAAATTATATTGGAAGTCCCTGAAAGTGAAATAAGATGAAAAAGGAATTAAACTTATAGATATTAGGAAGCTAAAGAATCAGTAAATACACACACAGGTATATAATGTAATTCTAACAGTAAATGTTTAGAATTACAATCATTGAATCTTAATTCATTATAGACAAGTCTTTGACTTCGAAGAATGTGACCAGCAAGAGGGGTAGAGGGACAAGAAAGGAGAATAGGAGAATGAATACAATCAAAGTACACACACTACATATATAATACATGTGTTAGTAATAATACAAATAATACAAAGTACATTCTATACATAATCACATATGTATAGAATTGCATTGTAAAAGTAACATAAATTCATAAAATTTACAACCTCATCTTATGATTGAAAGATAGTAATACATAATTATTGCACCATATCAATATATTTAAAGATTTAATATTGTACTCATTTTCAATTCTCTTCAAACTAGTGAGTTTTATCCACTTTAGTTCCAACAAAAGACCGGGCAGTGTGTTTGCAAAAGTTGACATTAGATGGAAACCAGAATGGAAAGGCAATTTTGAAGGATTACAGAATGTTCTCAGAAACACACACCTATGGATGCACACGCACAAACACGCCTGCATATGCACACACATATGCACATACAAACACAGATTATGGAAGAAAGGGGCGTGGCTTAGAAGCAACTGCGTAATAAAGACATAGTAACCACATCAGGGTTGGTGCAAGCCTGACACACAAGCCAACAGAAGAGGAGGGAGCACAGAAATGAACATTTCTATGAGAACACATGAGCTAAGCGAAGGCATCGCAGAGCAGGAAAACACTGCCCTTTCAATGATGAGCCTGGACCGCTGGTTTTTAAAGTGAGCATCAAGCAAAACTTATTTGACACCTATTCTCAGTGTTTATTTCAAGAACACAATGCTGTAGTTCCCATTCAATGATTATCACTAAATGATATTTTATTTTTCATAAACTTCATGCTCAAAAGACTGTGTCTGATTGTTTTGAAGCTGCTTCTCCTGAACTCATTCCAGCATGAAGCCCTTGAGATCAAGAACTTTGGCCACTCTGGTTCTTTCCACCTCAAGTGTCTAAAACACTCTGGACACAATTATAAGCTTTTGAACCAGTCAATAAATGTATACATCTTCGAGGAGTGAAAAGATCAGGTAAGCCTTTTATCTAGCAGATAAAGGATGGAGAGAGTTTGATTGGGAAAGCCTGAGATGGGGCAACTGTGTGAAATAAGAGTCCAGGTGAAGGAGAAAGCAAACACAGATGGAAAAGGAAGGCTGGACACGGTACAGCACAGCTGCGGTCCCAGAATGTGAGAGGCTACAGCAAGAATACCTCAAGTTCAAGGTTTGCAACAAGACCCTCTTTTCAAAGAGACAAAAGAAATGCATGTGAAGCCAGGCAGTGGTGGCGCACGCCTTTAATCCCAGCACTTGGGAGGCAGAGGCAGGCAGATCTCTGTGAGTTCGAGGCCAGCCTGGTCTACTGAGTGAGATCCAGGACAACCAGGACTATTACACAGAGAAACCCTGTCTCGAAAAACCAAAAAATAAATAAATAAATAAATAAATGCATGTGAGAGCATCATGTGAAGCCACTTTTAGATGTAGTAAATGGAAAATTCATTTCAAATAAAAGCAGTCATTCACAAGTCTCAGAATATTTGTATTAGTTTCTTTGTTGTGTACAAAACCAAAACTGTTTCCCCATTAAAATGATCCAGAATTCTAAGATTTTTTTTTTCTGTTCTCCCTCCCTAACTTGCAACCATCCCCAACTCAGATACTATTTAATACTTGTATTACTTGGTATTATGGAAGTCTTCAGTCTTAAGTCAAGTATGTGCCTCAAGCTCCAGAAGGTTTGTTTGTTAAATGCGGAATCCAGAGTTTTCCTTCTAAAAGATTAAATAGAAGTTTTGGGTTCCTTGGAAAACTAGATCTCCAAGCGTCTTGGGTTTTTGTTGCTATGAAGAGATGCCATGACCATTGAAACTCTTATAAAGAAAACATTTAATTGGGGTAGCTCACTTACAGTTCATTGTGTCGGGGTGTGGTGATATTTTATTTGTACACCTCAATAAAGCTTATCTGGGGATCAGAGGATAAAGCTAGCTACTATATTAAACATAGAGGTCAGGCAGTGGTAGCACATGCCTTTAATCCTAGCATTTGGGAGGCAGAGATTCATCCAAATCTCTGTGAGTTCAAGGCCACACTGGGAACAGAGCCAGGCGTGGTACCAGCACTAGTTAACCATAGAGGTCTGGAGGTCTGTACAGACAGACGGGAAGTGATAGACCTGTGTGGAAAGAGGAAGTGATGTAGCTGGGTGGAGAGAAGAAGTAAGATGACAGGGCACAGAAAGGTATATAAGCATGAGTACACAGGAAGTGGCTCTCTTGGGCTGAAGATTTCCTAGTGGTAAGAAATGCCTGGCTTCTTTCTCCTTCTCTAATCTCTCAGTTTTCACCCCAACATCTAGCTCCGGGTTTTTTTTATTAATAAGACCATTTAGCAATTTGTCTTACATCAGGGAGCATAGTAATGTACAGGCAGATACGATGCTGGAGTAACTGAGAATCCCACATCTTGCAGGCAACGAGAAGTCGACTAAGACACTAAGGGGGTAATATTCTGAGCATAGGAAACCTCAAAGCCCGCCCCTACAGTGACATACTTCCTCCAACAAGGCCACACCCACTCCATCAAAGCCACACCTCCTAACAGTGCCACTCCCTATGAGATGATGAGGGCCAATTACATTCAATCTACCACACCAAGTGAGTCAGACTTACAGCAGACATAGAAATGACTGAATTCTAAACCAAAGTATGGTCCCTGCTCTGACAGCACATGGGACGCTGTTAGAAATTCTAGATCTCTGGGGATGACAATATTGTACGTACTGTGGGAAATAGTATGGAGTTGGCACTAAAAAAATAGAAATACAGATGCTACATGATCCAGAAATTCCACTTCTGGGTACTTATGCAAAAGGATCAAAATCAAGATGTGTGTGTGTGTGTGTGTGTGTGTGTGTGTGTGTGTGTGTGTGTGTGTGTGTGCCACTGGGGCAGGAGAAGCTATCAGAGGAGTCCCAACAATCTCTCACAGAACCCAGGATATTTCTCACTTTTATAAACTTTTAGAGATGGGGGATCTGAGCTTAGCTGTTTAGTGGAGGTACTTGGTATGATGTAAGGCTGTGGTTCAGGTTGCCTTGGGCCTGGAAAACGGAAAGTTAATCCTGTTGTCCTGTCCTACCTTGGGGCAGCTACCTGCTAGTTTTGCAGCTCAATGAAGGGCTTGAAATGTCCAAGAAGCTTTAGAGTCCCGTGGGGTGGGGGCCATGGCTAATCCCTTTACTAGGGAAACATCTGGAATCTAACAATAAGTAATACAATGTAACACTTTTCATTCCATGTCAGACTTGTTTCGTTTAGAAAGAAACATGTCCTCTGTTTTCATCCATTTTTTTTTTACTCAACATTCGTCATATTTATTTACTAAATACCATGGTTCAAAAGAACAAACCCGAAAACATACTTGAGCTAGTCTAAGTGGACGGGTTTAACTGCAACCACCTGTCTCCACGTTCTTTTACGTCTAAAGGTAGAAAACTCTGTTCTAGTTAGTTTTATTAAAGTATTTTTGACTTGGTTCATTTGTAAAACTGGGAACATAAAGTACCTGTATCTTGTAATATTTCATGTCTTTCTTGGTTCAGAGAAATTCTTTTATGTTCAGAGAAATGTGTTAGTAACAGAAAAGGCAAAGTGTGCACGAGTAATCACTGAAGGGGTTCCAGCTCCACATATGTTTTCATCCATTTTAAGAGTGAGTAATACTCTATTGTGTATATACACAAACATATATGTAAGTATAAATATATGTATATTTATCCAATACAGCTTCTATTATTCTGCTCATATACACTTCCATTCTTCCCACACCTTGGCTATTGTGAATAATACTATAACGAATTTAGGAGTGCATTTACCTCCCGGGAGGACCTGATTTCATTTCTTTAGGGTATATCCTCACAGTACATACTTCTGGGTCACATACTGGCACTGAACTGAGAAACTATTGGAAATCACCGCAAAGCTAAAGCTGAAACAGACAAATGGAAATCCATTAACTAGAAAAATCTCTGGACACCAAAGCATAATGAAGAAAGAAGTCTACAGACTGGGCGAAAAATACACATTGGCCGCACATCCAAAACACTAAGGAGTCCACACTGTTCAACAGCAAACAGAAGGCTCAAATACCCAGTTATCAAATGGGCAAGATGATCTGAATGAACATTTTCCTAAAGAGAATATACAAATGGCCAACTTGTGTACGACTGACGAAGGAACCTGACGTCTCTAACCATCAGGGAAATGTCAATCAAAACCCCCATGCAGGCATCACCTCACACTTAATAGGATAGCTATTACCAAAACAGCCAGAGATAGTAAGTGTTGGCTAAGGTGTGGAGAACAGGGAGTGCTCGCGCTCCGTTGCTGACGATGTAAACTTCGGTCATTATCGAAAGCAGCGTGCGACTTCCTTACACATTAAAACTAGATGTATCATTCGACCCAGCCTTAGTCTTTTGCGAAGTTCAATCACCTGCCTTTCATGTTCCACTTACTGGAAATCAAAGGCGTGGGCTCAGTGCCAAGCACTGCCCTCGCGGCTCCCCATGCGGTCTGAGGCCAGCAGGGGGCGCCGCGGACCACGAGGGGGTCCCGCGGGAAGAGGAAGTTCCCGGACCGGGCTCGCCCGGCGCAGGGTGCAGCCAGACTCTCCGGGGCCTGGCTGCGCGCGGTCGGTTCCGGGTCCGGTGACTCGCGTGACTAGCGTCGCCGCCGGGTGCGCGGAGGAAGGATCTGCCCTGACAGCCTGGGGGAAGGTTTCCACGGCCGCAGTGCCCATGGCGGGCGAGGGGTTCGGGCACCCGGGGACGACGGCCGCCACCACGGCGCCCGAGACCCGCGAGCACCTCTTTAAGGTGCTGGTCATCGGGGAGCTCGGGGTGGGCAAGACCAGCATCATCAAGCGCTATGTGCACCAGCTCTTCTCCCAGCACTACCGGGCCACCATCGGCGTGGACTTCGCCCTCAAGGTCCTCAACTGGGACAGCAGGACGCTCGTGCGCCTGCAGCTGTGGGACATCGCGGGTAAGCAAGCGGGCAGCGTCCCTGTGCCAGCCAGCCGACTCTCGCTCCTCTCTGCCTCCTGGTCCCTCTCTTTTCTTTTCCCTGCCTCAGCTCCTCGCGGTGCGCTTTTAGAAGTGGACATATGGAAGGGGAAGATCAGTGGCGCCTGGAGGGGCTGAAAGGGTCCCGGAAAGTCGGCTTGGGGAGGCCTGTCCCCTATCCTACTGAAGTTCCACTCCTGGTTAGTACAGCGGTTCTCAACCTGGAGGTCAAAAGACTCCTGTGGATCGCCCAAGACCATCGGGAAAACACAGATATTTACATTATGATTCATAACCGTAGAAAAATTAACAGCTATGAAGTGGCAACGAGAATAATTGTGTGGTTGGGGGTCACCACAGCATGAGGAACTGCATTAAAGGGTCGCAGCATTGGGAAGGTTGGGGACCACTGTGTTGATGGTACAACAAAAACCAACAAAACCTCATTACTTTCCACCACGTTCTCTCTCCTCTGTCTTGGGTCTGTGCCCCGCTGATGTAAGGGTTTTCTCTCTCCGTGAGCCAAGAAATTTTACCTCTGAGTAATGACAGACATGCTTATAATTTACTAAGAAGGGTTGGAGTTATGGGTGGAAAAAGCAAAACAAAACCCTGGAGCCCAGCCAAGCCTTTGTGAGGGGAAACTCCATTCCTGAAATTCCTCAAACTTGGGAGGCTTGGTGACCCCAGAGAAGGGCTGGGAAAGTTTTGAAACTTTCCCGCTGCCTGCCCCTCCCTAAAGCAATAATCTTGCCGTCCCTTGGGCACTTCCCCATCCCACAAACACCGGATTGCTTCCTTTTGCTTTCAATTGTTGCATTGTCTTTGTGAGACCCCTTGCTACCCTGACCTGTGTTCTCGCTGGTGTGGGAGGTGTCCTATGGGTCTTTAATGATAATGGTAGCAAAGTTTACCCTGTTCAGTCATTGCAAGTTCCGAAGCTCTGTCTGCCAGGAAGCATTTCAATAGGAGCTTGTTTAAAACTGGAGAACACCTTGCCATCATCCTTACCAGGAAGCACACACTCTGAAGTCCCTGGAGGGTGTGGCTACACAGCTGGCAGAGTGGAGGGACACACAGCTTCTGTCTGCCAGGTAGTAAGTACTCTGTTCTCTCATAGCCACCCCAGATGAAAAAGTATTAAAGAATTATAAACTGTACACTCATTTGCTCAAGAGCAGAGTCAAACTTAGATGAGAAGATACGTTTATGCACATGGATACCAATCTCTCAGAAAGTGATTTGGCCTTGGGCTCCACTTTTTTTGTTTGTTTGTTAACAAAACCAGAAACAGCTGAAAGTCCATTTCAAATGTCATCCATCTTCTTATGCCAGAGGCTTCATGTGAATCACTTTAGGCTACTGCCCAGAACACGAACGAACATTCTATTGCTTCTTGACAACTTCTTACCTCCTGAAGGTTGCCTTAGCCTGTGATGGTGACCAATAGGGATATCCAGTGCAGCTTTCACAGAAGTGGTTTGAAACCCCTATTAGAATGGGGTTTCTTTTACTCTATGTAAATTAGTGTTGATACTAAGTATTAGATGATGTCTGGAGACTTGAGGAAACAAAAGCAGGAGTTCTGGATTCCTTTAATCCCAGCACTTGGGATTCAGAGGCAGCCAGATCCGTGAGTTCAAAGCTAGACTGGTCTACAGAGTGAGTTCCAGGACAGCTAAGGCTACACAGAGAAATCCTGTATGGGGGCGGGGAAGGGGGAGAGAAGAAGGAGAAGGAGGAGGAGAAGGAGAAGAGGAAGAAGAAGAAGAAGAAGAAGAAGGAGGAGGAGGAGGAGGAGGAGGAGGAGGAGGAGGAGGAGGAGGAGGAGGAGGAGGAGAAGAAGAAGAAGAAGAAGAAGAAGAAGAAGAAGAAGAAGAAGAAGAAGAAGAAGAAGAAGAAGAAGAAGGTTTTCTTTCTACATCACCTCTATAGAGGTCTTTGCATGCCCTCCTCACTTTTTTTCCTCACTATGTAGCCCAAGCTAGCCTCCAACTCTAGATCCCTCTCTCTCAGCCTCCCTACTGTTGCAACTCCAAGAATGTACCAGCCCACCCAGCTTCGTTCTTCTTGAACTGACACCATAGCCAGGAGGGAGACATAGCCCATCTGCCTGCCATAATGATGTCATCCTTGCACTCTTGCCAAAATCTGAAGCTGGAGCTTTCCTGGCAAAGAAAGAAACATTTTATAAACTCCAGGAGGGATCACTGATGTTAGCTGCTGCTTTCAACAGGAACTCTTGTAGTGTTCAGCACATACATAACTCCAAATAACAACTAGAAAACTTACTAGGTGTCTTAGTTAGGATTCCTATTGCTGTGATAAAACATCGTGACCAAAATGCATGTTGGGGAGGAAAGGGTTTATTCAGCTTACACTTCTACAGCATTGTTCATCACTGAAGAAAGTCAGGACAAGAACTCACACTGGGTAGGAACCTGGAGGCAGAAGGTGCTGCAGAGGCCATGGAGGGGTGCTGCTTCCTGGCTTGTTCATCAGGGCTTGCTCAGTCTGTTTTCTTGTAGAACCCATGACCACTAGCCCAGGGATGGCACTACCCACAATGCAATGGGCCCTCCCTCATCAATCACTAATTAAGAAAATGCCTTACAGCCCTACCTTATGGAGGCATTTTCTCAGTTGAGGTTCCCTCCTTTGAGATAACTAGTTTGTGTGTCAAGTTGATTAAGATGAGTCAGCACATGTGGTAACCAGACACTGTTAGTCTTTTCACAGAGTCAGAGTTTAGGGCATGGTGTCTTAATATGCAGATAACAAGATGTCTTAATATGCAGATAACTTGGATTTGGCCTGGAATTTGTAGAACTACAGACAACTATGATTGATTTGAACATTTGAGTTACTAGTGAATTCTGCTTAGCTCATACCATTTGAATGCAGGAAAAGTTGTATAATGAAGACCATGCCAAAACACTTCCCCAAGGCTAAGCATATTCCATGTATGATTGCAACATTGACTCATACTGAATTCTGAAAAAATAAAACTATTCCCTGATTGCAAAACAAAAGGAGGAGCCAGTCACATGACATGACTCAACTGCTAGTTCCTTTTCGATACTGTTGTTCTGGAGGCTGTAAAGGTGGACAGGGCCATAAAAAAAAAAAAATAATACCAACCATCAGAAAAGCTTTGAGAAGGATGATAGGCAAGAATTACTGAATGCTTTCTGTGAAGGTAGCCAAACAGGTTCATGTAAACCCTTCAAATTAAGGACCACAGTAACTTGCTGGTACAGGCCTCAACAAAGTGTTTCTCGTTGCATTGAAGGAACCTAAATTTAGAGCATGTACCTCATATTGTAGACTCATAACAATTACCACTTCTTCCTACCGTCATTCCAACATTTCCAGTCTTTGTGTTTCTTTACTTATAAAGTTCAGAGATTCCACAGTAAGCAGGTTTTGATTGGCCCCATCCTTGAAAGACTTCCTAACTATGGACATTTCTGCATGTGATAAGCTGTTTCATTGGTACATGGCTACAAGCACACACCCTAAAAAAAAAAAATCAAAGCAGTAGTTGTAGATGTTTGCCTGGTCTCTGTTTAATAATCACTGATGAAGCCTGTGAGCCACGTAGTACAGGAATGAAGTGTTATTTTCAAATATGTTCTTGAAGAAATTGTATTCATTGTGTATACATTATACTGACCACCTGCTTTTTATAAGTTTTCCATACATAATTTTCTGTTTTTATCTAAACATGGGAGATTTCTTCTGAATAGTGGGACCAGAGATCAAGGAAACATGTTTTAGATTTCATCCAAGTGTTCTTATCAAAAGCCTTTTCCCCTTTGACCCAGCAAGCCAGGCACGGGGTGGCTCCTTTCTGAGACAAAGCTGGAAAATAAATAAATAAATAAGTGGATAGCAAAGATGTAGCTTTACAGTTTCTATTGGTCATTTAACTGACAGCCTGGATTCCCTCTTACCCCATTTCCCCCACCACTGGATTCTGTCTGTTTGTTTACACATTATCTACCATAGCTTGTGATTGCTTCTTAAGATTATCCTGAGTATGTTGGGGTTCCTATTGTGATTCTCTGGAGTATCTCTCATCAGACCCACAGGGGCCTTAGCATCCACCATCAGTAACACATGCAGATTCATTAGCATCTGCTGTGTCGGGAGACTCGGCTTCATCTGACAACTGTGTTCATCCAGCCTGGTTTAGCAAAGAGTTACTTCTTTCACACATAAGTCTGGGATGAGGCATTCCAGAACCGATGCAGAGTACCATAGTCTTCATAGACAAAAGCTGGCTTGCTACCACTCACTTATTCCAAGACTGTGTTATTTGCTTCAGTGGTCCAGTAAAATGGGCATGCCTTCATGCAAGGGCAGTTCAGAGATATAAGGCTCATGTTTTAAAGCGGGCATGGAGCTTGCTCCAAAATACTCTGTAAAGGGAAGTTGGGGCTAACAATTAGCCATCTTTCATACCTGCCAATTCAGAGTTCAAAGCACTTGGAAGGTTGTCACCTATCAAACGCTATGGGTGATTCTGATTTATACTAAAGCTGAGAAGCATTGTTCTATCTTGGGCTCTGTGGCACCCTGGCAACACACCCACATTCTCACTACACTCTAGGAGCTTACCACTTAATCAGACAGCCTGCCTGGCCTCCATGTTCCCTCGCACTCACACCTTCCATGTTCTTGGCTTCCTTTCCCAGATTCACAGCACAACCATAGAAGTGCCATGGGGCCATCCTCATCCTCTATATGGCCATCTCAGGAGTCTCTGGTGGAGGCCAGTTTGTGGACACAAGAGCAATTTACATGTAGAGACAGGATACTTTTTGTTTCTCTTGAATACATTTATTTTAAAGTTTAGAAACAATGGCATAATCTTTTACAGCTATTCTGAATGTGAATACGAGTTAGCAAGATATTTTTATTTTCATAGATAATGATCCTCTTATAATCTATGATTGGAGATTGCTTGTTGACAGTACTTTATCTCTGAAATGCACCATGAGATTTAAGGATTTTCTTTAGGAGACCTTCCATTTACTAATTAGAAACTGGACATTTCTTCCGAGTCACCTTGAGAGGTCAATGGGTAACTTGTGTTAACTTGCAGTGGGTGGGAAAGAGGTGAGTATCTGAAAGTGGAGAAACTAAGCACCATTTTATTCTATTTCTCTTGGGTTTTGTTATTAAATTTGTATTTTGAATTTCTACTAATATTACTAGAAACATTTGGATTATCAAGAGGGATATATAGAGAGGAAAAACTCAAGCAAAAGCCATGATGGAAATCCCAAAAACCAGTTTCTGTGAATTGTGCTTCTGGTAACAGCAGAATGTGGTATTTTGTTTATTAAATCTGAGGGAAATGAATTCATTGTTAAGATTTTCATTTGTTTTAAAGAGGTAAGATGAAAGATTTTGTGTATTTTTCTAGCCAACTGGGAATATTTATTCCTGGAAAAACACTGGTTTTGCTGTGTGATCCTCCTCAGTGTCATTAACTCCAAATAGCAAGATCAATATTTTTATCCTTTGCTAACTTGCGTACTTTAAGATTGGTGCATTTGCATATGTAAGAGCTTTATGATATTTTGGAGCCTGCATCTCTCTCTCTCTCTCTCTCTCTCTCTCTCTCTCTCTCTCTCTCTCTCCCTCTCTCTCTCTCTCTCTCTCTCTCTCTCTCTCTCTCTCTCTCTCTCTCTCTCTCCCTCTCTCTCTCTCTCTCTCTCTCTCTCTCTCTCTCGACACTTCCCCTTCTCATCCTTCATGCTTGCCAGAATTTCAAGTTATAATCAACATGCCTTCCTCCTGAGGCAGTAGCACATTGTTTGAGAGACAAAACATTTGGAGAGTCATTGAAAATGTGCTGTCAGTCTGTCAGCCGCAATGCAGGTGACAAAGGCTACCGCTCATATCAGTGACTGGTGCACTCTGCAACAGGGGATCTTCCCTCAGCTACTGCAGTAAGGCACGAGATGACTAGGAATGTGTGTATGGGGGATGGAGGACCCTGTAGCAGCACTGTACTGTGCTGGAGGATGTAGCAGGAATCTTACAAAGCTTTTATTAATAAGTTCAAACCTGGACCAGGTATTGGGGTGAATTCTGGAAGATCAGAGAGACAGAACAAGCCACAGCTAGCCTCACCTGGCCAACTTCTCAGCTGGTCTTGTTTCCTCAGACTGGAAGCCTCTGTGTCCTCATATCCGAATGGCTCTCAGCTGAACTGTGCTGCTAGAAGCCTGAAAGCTTAACCAGCCAAATGCTTCTAGTTTCTGATCCTCACACCTTATATACCTTTCTGCTTTCTACCACCACTCCCTGGGGTTAAAGGCGTGTGTCACCATGCCTGGCTGTTTCCAATGTGGCCTTGAACTCACAGAGATCCAGAGGGATTTCTACCTCTGAAGTGCTAGGATTAAAGGTGTGAGTGCCACACCATTTTCTAGCCTTTGTATCTAGTGACTGTTCTGTCTCTTTCCACAGATAAGTTTATTAGGGTGCACAATATTTTGGGGAACACAATACCACCACAGGAGGAAGTCACTCTTGGCTACTGGTACTAATAAGAATCTTCCTCCACACAAGACACAAGCAGACATTCGTCTGTTCCAGCAAACGTCTGGGTGAACAGATCGGATGGTACAGTAGTACAGTCAACCCAGGGAATTTGAGTATCTCCTTGGGACTCCTTTCTCTCATCAGTAAAATAAGTGAGCTGAACTAACTGGATGCTTGCACCTGTCTCCTAGTTTCGACCTGTAATGTCTCTTTCAGCACTGCTCAAAGAAGTTGCTGTTACACAGAGTCTCCCCCACCCTCACTCCCCCCGAACTAGTCTGCACTTGTTTAACACACCTATTAGGATGGCGGACCCCTAGCTTCTGATTGATTCTCCTATCAGCACAAGCTTTAACTCTGAACATGCACAATCTACAGGAAGCAAAACCTCCTCAACCCCCTTCCTAACTACTGAGGACAGGCTTCCTCCCTTACCCAGCTGCTTCTTAGGTAAAGACTCCAGCATGGGCCAGTGTTGTCTGCCTTCTGGTAACTCATGTGCTCTGATGTTTTCATGACTTTGTTAACCTGGGTGTTTTCTCTTCTTTCCTGAGAGTCCTTTTTCCAAACTTACTCTGGATGCAAGTCTTCACTAGTTGGTAAGTGGTTGACATTTGATCCCCCCAGTCAGTTCCTTTTCATTTGCTTGATTGTATAACTGACATTTTTTCACTTAACATACAGGGCTTTTGTTTGTTGGTTTGTTTTGTAGTACAGTTTCTGATGTGAGGTCTGTCGGGGAGAATTTCCTCCTAGTCCTGACATCTCAGAGAATCTGTCTGACATTCCTAAGCCAACATATCTTCCCCCAAAATTCCTTATCATAGGTATTTCTGGTTTTGTATGAGTTACCCGAAAGGGCAAATGAGTACATCTTTTAATACCACGGGTTATGATTAACAGAAAAATTATTTGGGATTTTCAGGAGGTTGACTAAAAAAAGAAAGCAAGAGTTATGAAAGCTTAGCAGCTCTTTGGAACATGCAGTTATCCATTCTGTCACTAATTTGGCACCTTATCTTTTTGAAATGCAAAGGATGGTCAGACTGAGAACTATGAAAGTACCCTAAAATGTTAATCCTTCCAGCTTTCCTAAGACTATCTTAGTGGGGGCTAGTTACTTGTTGCTACAGCTCTTTCGTGTTCAATAATTAAAGTTCATAACAGTGGGTTCCTTTAGGCTCACTAGTAGAAGTTGAAATGCAAACAACTTTAATGCATCTAATCTTTTCTGAAGACTTGATGACCTTGCATGAGTGAACATAGCCATGTAATTGTTCAATGTACATTGATAGAGAAAGGTACAACGCTAAGTTTCCATAAATGTCAGCATTACTATCAAATGAACTACACAAATAAACTAAAATCAGATTTATCTTACCAATAAAATATGACCATGACAGATCCCAACATATGACCATTGTTGTAATGAAACTCAAATGCTTGGACATAGGAGGGGCCATAAGGCAAAGCAATATTTAAAATTTAATGACATGATAGAATTGGGAGGAGAAAGGGTATTTGCAGTCTGGGGTAGCTTTGTGTTTGTGTAAATAAACGATAATAAAAATGTAGATGAAGTTCCTCACCTTATTTTAACAAGAGACTGTAACTGTGCCTTCATCTTAGATCAAGTGATAACCTTAGACTCTGATTGTTTGTCACTCATTCTCCCCTTCTGAATCTGGTCAGTAATTTGACAGCTTAAATATATGAGCTTAAGAACTCTCGAGGCAGCTGCAGGATAGTTCAGAATCTTAAGCCTATAGACATGAAGGAGTCAGAAGGCTTGTCTCCTTTGGTGGGTGTCACTATGATCCAGACCATGCATCTTTCTGTCTCCCTTTTCATCCATCAGATAAAGATTGGTAGCCTTGTTAGGTGAAAATTTTGTTTGGCAGCTGATGGTAACAGCGTGCTTTCCAGGCCCGTCTGGATGTGCAGACAGTACCATAGTGGGTAGCAGAATTTGTTCAGCCGTGAATGGAAGCTCAGTTCTTTTCAAAAGATCGTCTCTGAAGAACTGTGCATTGAACCTTCTCACACCCATCCAACCAGCTGTGTGCCCCCTTCTTGTTTGGAAAGCATACGTTTTCCAGTGCCTGCTTCTAAGGGGGGAGCAATTATGGGTACTGAGTCAAAGGCAGGTAGACATGGGCTAGAGATGTAAAGGGAAGATGAACTGAGATCACAAGCTACTTTGTCTCCTGTCTAGTCCTGATGTGTTTGACTAGCCTTTTACCACATCACCTATCTGTGCTCTGTAAACTTCAGATTATTCTCATCTTGTCTCTTCTTCCACTTCTACATTTCTGCTTTTCCCCATGCCTCTCTCTTCTTAGACTAATGGGAGAGAAAGCAGAAAAGGTTATCCGTGCAGCCTGCAGTACAGGCATCCTGAAGTTTATGGTAGATGTGTTCTACAAAGGACCAACTCCTCCTGTCAATCAAATTGTCAGCCACTTGCGTTAAGTCCACGGGTCGTTATTCTGTCTGAATGTCCTTAATCCCTCCAGTGACACTTGTTTCTCAAAATAGTTTTTAGGATTTTTGAGCATGCACCTGCACCTAAGTATGACCCTCACCATTATGAACTTTTAATCTCCTTTTGTATTCATTTCTAGGGCAGGAGCGGTTTGGCAACATGACCCGAGTATACTACAAGGAAGCTCTTGGAGCATTTGTCGTCTTTGACATCTCAAGAAGTTCTACATTTGAGGCAGTTTTAAAATGGAAAAGTGATCTGGATAGTAAAGTCCATCTTCCCAATGGCAGTCCCATTCCTGCTGTCCTCCTGGCTAACAAATGTGACCAGAAGAAGGATGGCAGCCAAAGTCCTTCCCAGATGGACCAGTTCTGTAAAGAGCATGGCTTCACGGGATGGTTTGAAACCTCTGCCAAGGTGAGATGGCTTTCCTGACAGGTCTGTTTCTGATGCCCTTGTCAGGCTGGGCTGGAATGTGAAGTGTAGAGATGGATTTCTGCAAGGAGTTTTGCAAGCACAGAACAAAAAACACAGTTTGGATATGTGACAGCCTCCCTCTCTGAAGCAGAAGTGCTTTCAAACCTAGTTGACAGGGCCATGAATAGGCGAGCGGAACTGTCGGGCAGGGCAAAAATTGCGTGACATTTTCTGCAAGTTGGAGTTCTTAACCGGGGTGTTTCTTTCCTGCTACTGGAGTGAATGGGAGATAAGGTGTTTTGTCAAAGTCAAACACTTTTTGACTTTTGAAAGAGGCAAAAAACACGAGGAAATGTTTTTAGAAGATGAATGTCGTATGTCCGACTCATCCTGAACAGTCACTAGCAGACTGGATTAGCTGTGAGAGCTCTAAGCAAGAGCAAAATGTCAACATTTACTGTGTGCTTCTTCTTGAATAATTGAATGGACTTTTTTTTCTCCTATCATTGGGAAATGCATTTTTTTTTCTTTTTTAGAAAATAAAAACACTAAGATAAATTTTGAAAAGCTTAACCATGTGGAACCTAGAAAACTAAGGTTAAAAAAAAAATCAGAGGTACACTCACTATACTGGAGGGTTGTATTCCCCAGAATTGTTGAATAAGAGAATTCAATAACCCTCAGACATACATAAAAAATAATGACCTTTTGGAGAAATTCTATGATAAACATTCACTCCTTAACTGAATATCCTTTATACTGTCCCAGCTTATGATATGCATGCTATAGATGTATGTACTGTGTGTGCACATGTGTGTGTGTGTGTGTGTGTGTGTGTGCATGCATCATTGTTCCTCCAAATATCCTTCCTGAGTGATGGTTTCTGGGATCCCTTTCAGGTGGTTTTTAGCTTTACTAGACTCTTACCTTCAAGGTAGGAGATTATTCAATGTCAGCACTCATCAGAATGAAGAAAGCAAGTGATGAGCGCTCACATCATAGGGCAGCCTCTGAGTATTGAGTGATGACAGAATCACTGACTAAGGAAAGTCCCTAGAGGCAGAAGTGAGTGGTCCCAGCATTACACTGTTTTGATAAATACAGCGTCTTAAGTTGTCCTTGGTTTTGTGAACAGATGGTTGTGGTGGAAGAGAGATGGAGCCCAGAGATCCTGCAGGAGTTATTTACCCTGGCAGGAAGGAGGAAATCACAGAAGGAAGAGCATCATGGAGAGACTGAATTTCCTAGTACTGTTCTTCTCTCTGCCCCATGTGCATGCTGGACAATTTGCTTTAACTTCCCTTTGAAGAGTAGTATGTGTGCTACATACTACATATCTATGTTGAGGAATTTCCCATATTGCCTGTAAAATTCCATGGAGGATTTATTTGATCTTCTAGCTAACAAATTTTAATTTTATACAAAAATCTACCTATAAAATTCATAAATGACTGTCATACGACCTATAATTTGAGACTGTATAAGTGATTGACTTTATTATATTTTTAGACAAGATACTATGTAGAAGAGAGAGGGGGGACATATTTATCAGTGAATATTCTCATGCAGTTCTGTGCTTCCCTCAAATATGAGAAGAAGAGTTTCCTTCCACCAGATTTCCTGTGTGGCAATTCAAGAGTCTTCTAGAGTATAGAATCTAGAGTGTGACGTTACCATGAGTTTTTACTTTAAAAGTTTGAAAGAAATGAATCCAAGCTTTAAGTATCACATGAGTATTACCAATAGATCTACTTCCGGCCGGTCAGCAACTAACTTCACCTCTAGATTTTGCTTGAATTCTAGTGGTGTGGATTCTAATAGATACATAGTCAAAAGATAGTTTTGGGGTCACAAATTTAGTTCTTTCTCCTTCATGGCACATAATGGACTTTGATATGGAACTTTGCAACTCATCCCACTGTGATATGTGATTTCTGTTCCCACTCAGCTTTGAGTAACCGCTGATAGAGACCTGTGTTTGAAGGAGAATATCCCCAGAAGCTCATACGTTGAATATAGATCCATTTGATGGAGCTGTTTGGCGAGGTTTAGGAGGTGTAGAGGAAATATATGACTAGGAACTAGTACTGAGACTTCAAGTCTCATATCATTCTCAGTTTTCTCTCTCTGCTCCCTGCTTATGGTTTAAGGTATGATCTCTCTCTCTCTCTCTCTCTCTCTCTCTCTCTCTCTCTCTCTCTCTCTCTCTCTCTCTCTCGGTTTTTTGAGACAGGGTTTCTTTCTCTGTGTAGTTTTGCACCTTTCCTGGAACTCACTCTGTAGTCCAGGCTGGCCTCGAACTCACAGAGATCCGCCTGCCTCTGCCTCCCAAGTGCTGGGAATAAAGGCGTGCGCCTCCACTGCCCAGAAAGGTATGATCTCTTAGTCTTAGCTAGTTGCTCTAGTCGCCATGCCTGCCTGCTGCCAGGCTTCCCCTGGCCCATGACAGTGGCAGCACCTCTGGGATCTATCTCTCTTCTACCACAACTATCTATCTGTTCACAAAACTAAGGACAACATAAGACGGTGTACTAATCAAAACAGTGTGATGCTGGGACCACTCACTTCTGCCTCCAGGGACTTTCTTTAGCCAGAGACTCTATCATCATTCACCACTCAGAGGCTGCCCTGTGATGTATGTGGTCCCTCCTCACTTGCTTCCATCATTCTGATGAGAGCTGACATTGAATATTCTCCCACCTGTGAGCCCAAATAGGTCCTTCCCTCCATAAGTTGCCTTGGTCATGGTGTTTTATCATAGCAACAACAACAGCAATAAAAATAACTGACAATGGGTGGGAATGACAAGCACAGAAGGTCACTTTTGGAAATTCGAAGATCCTCGCTTGTGTTAAAGTTACCTTGGGGAGGAAAAGTCTCACACCAGTCCGTACTGTGAAGGCAGCCTCAATAAACAAACAGTCCTGCTGACTGAGAAAGTGTACACAAAGAAGGGAGGAGGTGATTTCATAGTGTTGGATTTAGTTGGAGACATTAATGTAAAGAGTTTCGTATTTGCAAATCTATGTGTGTATTCATATGTGTGCATTTATTTTCATGAATATTTATAAATATATAAAAACAGTGTAGATGAGGGGTGTGTGTGTGTGTGTGTGTGTGTGTGTGTGTGTGTGTGTGTGTATTTAATAGCTCTCTTAACCAAGAGGACTGGAGACCATAACAGCACATAAGGAATGAACTCTCCTAACCCTTACAATCTGGTTTGTGAATATAGTTTTTTAAGTAAACAGACTGAAGATACCAAGAGAAAGACAGGATTTCACAACTGATGGAAACAGAAAGTGAAGACATGCTTGAGATAATCTGTGTTGCCAGCAAGTAAGGAGGCATGCATAAAACGGTGTGGACATATCCCAAAGAGCATAGGGGCCTGCTTGTAGATGCTACAGAATTATAGGACAATCACCAAGTAAAGAAATCTTACAATGGGCTTAGTGTGTAAAACTGATAGCAGCCCAGGATGTGCACAAACAAATGATGAAAACATTTTTCCTCACAGTAGAGTCCTAACCACTAAATAAGGACTGGTGCAAATGAAATGACAGCTCCCAGTACCACAGTGATAATTGCCTTAGAAGAGAATTAATAGATGCTAACGTTAGTGAAGAAAGGTGTGTAAGAAACACGATATTTACCCATTTATATTCAGAAAGTCCAAAGGTGGAATTGCAACTTTTCAATGGAAAGCCTGGCAGCAATGACTTTAATCCATGTGTCTCCTGTACTTGGAGGACATGTGATCCCATCTTCTTCCCACCAAGAATGCAAAATCTGAAGTTAATAGAAAGGAAATGGTACAAAGACCCAGGCCAAGGGCTATTCTGTGGCCAGTGTTCTCCAAGACGTCACTTGGGGTTACAAAAGTGGTGTAACCACTAAAACATTTCCTGTGTGTCAATAAATCACCTCCCACTCATGCTGGGGCAACAACCCTAATTAACTCTGAATCACACACGAAAAAGACATGAAAACAGGAGGAAGATTTTTGGGGAAGAAGGAAGGGAGGGGTCTGAGAGATTTACGGAAGTGGAAATAACTAAAATTCATTCTATACATGTATGAAATGTTCAAAGAATAAATAGCAAATTAATTCAACAAATGCTTTGAACTCTCAGCATAACAGACACTAGCATTGGACAAGAGGTTACCTGGTGTGCTGGTGTGCTTAGCGCCCTCTGGCACGTCCCCCTAGTTCCCTTACTGCACTCAACATTTACTTCTGAGGCCAAAGCCTGCACTGATCTTCCCATTCTGTGCTCCCATTACAGGATAATATAAACATCGACGAGGCTACCCGGTTCCTAGTGGAAAACATCCTTGCGAACCAGCAAAGCTTTCCCATCGAAGAAAACGACATGGACAAAATTAAACTGACCGATGAGCCCCTGACAACAAAGCCCAGGGCTCAGTGCTGCTGATGAGTCTCTGCACCCCCTGTGCTGTCTCCTTGGTTCTGCCTGTGGCTGAGGATGCTCACGGGGCCATTGTCCCCTGTGAGTCTCCCTCAGGCCTGCTTCATCTTTATTCAGCTGCACAGGAACCACATGTGTGAAGCTGGAGATCCGTGGAGAACTGTACCCACTAGAGGCCCTGTGATTTACCAGGTGAATCCTGGGCTCTTTTTGCTGCCCAATGCAGACTAATGTTTACACCCTTTGAGACATTTTTGTACACGAATTTCAAGTGTTAGCTTTTAGTGTAAATGCTGGAGTAGTAGAAAAACTTCCCTCACGGTATTCCTGACATTTTGAGTGTCTTTGTTCCTGTGTTCATCTTCACCCAACCACGATCCTTTTCTTTTTTAGGCTGTTAGCTACAAAGACGTGAAGGCCCCCATGTAGTTATTTCCTAGTCAAAATTTTGTACTTTGTGTAAAATTTTTATTATTAAATATCATGAGTCTAAGCTGGGCCAGGATGTGGTGGCACATGCCTTTAATCCCAGTACTGGGGAGGCAGAGGTAGGCTGATCTCTGAGTTTGAGACCAACCTGGTCTACAAAGCAAATTCCAGGACAGCTAGGACTGTTACACAGAGAAACTCTGTCTCGAAAAACAAACAAACAAACACAAACACAAAAAACAAAAACAAATGTGATTCTAGAACTCATAGCTGGGGTATAATGAAGTTCTGAAACATCTTAAGATTCACTTCCTCCATTAATCAAAAAGTACTGAGCTGGGGATGTGGCGAATGATACATTGCTTGCCTAGAATGCTATAAACCCTAGGTCTGTAGTACATGGGAGTCAGGGGAATGCTTGCACACACCTGTACTACAGGTGTCCCCCTCTGGATCCTCTAGGTGTAGATGCCACTACCACTTGGAAACAATATAAATGAGCATTCCTTCTCTGCCCTCTATTCTGTGTTACAGCCTAGAGCTACTCTACGTGGAACTTGCCTTTCCAGGTTTGTCATGGTAACAGTCAGGGGGAGAATTTTTTTCCAAAGCATATGCAATTATATCCAAGTTTCTTGAGTATGAACCCTGAAAGAAAATAAACCATGTATTGTTTGCTCCGTGGTTTTGGACACTGATTGTGTAGTGCCTAGGACACTTTATGCAGAGCTACAATATTTGTGTTGCACTCAACAGAGTGAAAGCAGAGAATAAATATTTTAACCTAAGCTTATGAGTTGAATGAATGTAGTTCTAGGAAGGTACTTCTGGTTTAGAAAATGTTGTGTTTGACGGGGGTGTTGGCCCACATCTGTAATCCTAGCATGTAGGAGACAGGCAAATGGGTAGAAGTTCAAAGCATATGTTGACTACAGAGCAAGCTCAAGGAACTTGCGCGCACGTGTGTGTGTGTGTGTGTGTGTGTGTGTGTGTGTGTGTGTGTGTGTGTGTGTGTGTTTGTGTGTGTGTGTGTGTGTGTGTGTGTGTGTGTGTGTGTGTGTGTGCGCGCACCTGTGTGTGCCTAGTGCTTGTGGATTCCGTAGAATTCCATAGAACTGGAGTTATGGATGGTTGTGAACCACGATATTGATGATGGGAGCCAAACCCACATCCTCTGCAAGAGCAACAAGTGCTTTTAATTACTGAGCCACCACTCCAGCACCTTGATTTTTATTTTTAAGGGGCTTATCACATTATGCAAAAAGTTCAATGTCTTTAAAGAAATTTAAGGAGCCTCTGTGTCAGAGCTTAAAGCTAAAACAAATGAAATACTGGACGTACTTGTCTCCTGGACCATGTGAACATGGTGGGTGAACATGCAGTCACTAACAGCAAGGAAAACATAGAAGTACTATTGTTCTAGCATCTGTATCCTGAGAAATAAGAAGTCACATGCTCTATTTTCACCAAACTCAAGCCTTACCTAAGTGTGGCTATCTGCTGTATATATGAGTAAAGAAATCATTTTAACCTTTTGGACATATATTCATAGTCAGGTTTTCTGAAGTGAAGGAAATATCAGGGTTTGATTAATGTATATAATTTAATATAATCCCTATGATTTTGTCATGGATTAAATCTCACCGTCTAAGATATACATATCACCCAAATGTAAAATACAGCTTTTTAATGTCTCTAATATTTCACAGCCTGTGAAGAATGAATGAGCTGTTGCTATCAAGTCCCAAATGCAGGAAACATCAAGTCTATCCTAAATAACTACTGAAAGTGACTGCAGTCACTTGGAATTTTTGGTGTGCGACACAATTTTAATTTTTACAAGTAATCTATCACATTTAAGTTCATTTAGCAGTGATCTCAAAATGAGAAGTATTATACTCAATTTGTTCATCTTTACAGTGTTTGTTAATTTACAGTATTTGTTCATGACAGTTCCTGGCAAAACTGATTTCTGTTGGTCAAGTGAAACAGTATATAGTTTGACTGTTCACATTTCAAAGAAAGAGTTGTTAATCTTTCGCCCTAATCTTAAACTCCTTAATGTTTTGTAACTTTGGCATAAAACTTGAATTGAGGGTAAATTATTTAAAAAGGACTAGATGAAAGAAAAGAATTCCTTGTTCCCTCAGTCACTTTAAAAATCAGTTATACATTTAAACAAATACCCTAGCTCAGACACTAGTGTAAAGTAACCAATTAAAAGATGTGTCTTTTTATCCCCCATTGGTCTTAGACATCAAGATGTTGACAATTTTCCTCTCTGCTCTGTGTAGGTCCTTAAACCCCACATTTCTAAAAGTGATTGCTGTGGAACTGTGGCTTTCCAATGTGTAGTTTTGTTTTATTCAATATGTCTACAAAGCACTGAATTCCTTAATGAAATTTCCCAAGCCTCACTTCAGACTTGCATGGTTTCTTGGAAATACACTTTTGTCGAAATCCAATATCTATTTTGAAACCTCCCATGCTAATTAGAATACCAAAACTTACTGAATTTGAAGTCTATAGTGTGCTCAAAACACCATTAAAATAAAACACTATTTCTGTGTGCAAATTGTTGTTAGTATAAAGTCTATGCACTTTGGACAATGGACTAAAAATATGAATTTGCCTTTACCCACTGAAGTCAATAGACACTTAAGGTTCTTGCTACCCTGATTAGCCATTTAGTCTACATCATAGTTCTCTCTCGCTTCCTCCCAAAATTATGTAATATTGAAAATTAGCTTAAATATGAGAAAAAGAAACCAAACTATACAAACTGTAGGACTGCCTGAGGGGAAATATGCTGAGAAAATCCTTAAGCACTCTCAAGTGCTGAGAGCCAAAATGGTGAAAACATACATTTGACTGCACAAGAATACATATAAAGACAATATAGATAGAATGCTAACAAACAACAAATAAAATATTTACAACCTATTTGGTTAGGTAGGGGTTAAAAAGCAGGATAATCCTCAACAATGAATAAAGGTGGTCAAAGAATGCAAAAACTACCATGTGTGTATGTGTTGTGCATGTGCACACTGATGAACCCATGTGCATTATTCTCTGCCTTACCTCCTTGTTGCAGGGTTTCTCACTGAAGCTAAAGCTCTAAACGTTTTTTTGGCTATGCCACGCTATTACCTAGGGTGAGATTCCCAGGTCCTGACGTTAACTTTTGCTCTCCACACGCAGCACACACATGTCTATGTGCACCCATGTACATGTGTGCACTTACACATGTAAACACGCATATACCCACACATGGATGTTATATACACAGCACAAGTTAATAACCAGGAAACACAGTAATTGGTTATCAGATTAATAAAAAGTGTGTAACTTAGGTTACATGTTTTTGGTTATTTTCTTAATGTTGGGGTCATAGAAGAAATAAGGTAAGCCTTAGCGGTTTCGCTCCATTTATTTGACTAGATACTGCCAAGTTTCCTTCCCAACTGCTGCTCAGTTTACACACCAAGTCCACATCCTGCCAAGAAGTGAAATACTTGTTGTTAGGGGAAGTATAATTAAAAATAGGAAACTTTTTAAAATAAGTATATCAAAAATGAAATGCACATTTCAAATAATCCATCAGAAACTGAAAAAAAAAAAAAAAACCAACCACCAGAAAGTAAACTCACTCTTTCATACAGTCAAGTACATAGGACATGTTAGTACAGTTTCGTAAGAAAAACAGAACTAGTCCAAACATCAAAACAAATTGGTATCATTTGTCCAACAGTTCATTCCAAGTCCACCCGGTAACTGGCAGGGTTATCTGTTTTAACCAGTTTTTTCTGAAAGGGAAAAAAAATGAACTCATTTTTATGACAAAAAAACTCATATTTTGTGTCTTGTACAAGGTGCTCACCCAAGTTAGTTTACCACAGAAGCCAAGAGCCAAAGGTGCTCTCTTTCCCGATGACTGTATCTCAAAGAGATGGTCCCCTGGGTGCTTGGAAAAGCTGGTGAGAGGCTAGTTTATGTTACAAAAAGACTCTCCACATCTCAGAGACAGCAAAGGAACTTGAAAGTTTCCTAATTCAAATATCTCAGAAAAGGGTACGGGAAGAGGTACTTCCTTCCTTTTCAACAGGGGAATTAAGCCTTTCATTTTTGATGTGTTTGTCCTTACTATCAAGCCCAGATAAACATTTGCTTGTGCACACAAATCTGTTAATGCTCTTAAAGATCAATAGCTGCAATATCTAGCTCACAGTGAAAATGCAAATCTATATTTGGTAAAGTATTCATTATTGCTCACATTAACCAACATTCTGGAAGAGACAATTATGCAACTCCAGGAAAGCTTTTATATGTAAAATCATATGTCTACAAAATTATGTTTTGAAAGATGAACATATATAAGCTATGATTCAAAAACTGGAACTGTAGCTTGGTGATAGAGTGCTCAAGTGGTCTGAATAAAGCCTTGACTTCAGTCCCTATCAATACACACACACACACACACACACACACACACACACACACACACACACACACACATACACACACACACTGGCCCTATTTACACACCATAATCCACTGTCTCCAAGAAGCCACTTGAAAACCACCTAGCAAAGCCTATCAGTATTTCTCAAAACACATTGCCCTTTCCCCACGTCATACTTGCTCTAAAAGCTTAAGCGTTCATGTGTTGAATGTAATAAACAGAATTGCATCCACTACAGGGCAGCGTATCAAACTGTTCCTGAAGGAAATGCTCATTTGGCTGAAATTTTAGGCCACATTAGATTTTCAATTTGCATTGATATAAACTTAGCTTTTGAGCCTTGGGGGTAGCATCAGTCATGCTTTAGGACTGTGGTTTGGGTACCTGTAGAACCGGGAAAGACAATGATTGTGTCTAACCTCCACCTCACTTCAGTATACTGCTCCACATGGGTGCCTATAAAGATTGACTTCCATGTGCTTTTTCTCATTGATAATTTTTTAAATTTTGAAATTAAAATAAAAGCACATTATTTTCCTCCTTTCCCTTTAACCTGTCTCATGGGCTGACCCCCCCACCTGCTCTCTCAAATTCATGGCCTCTTTTTCTTTGATGTTATTCCTTCCTTTTTATCGATTACAAGCTTTTATGATACAGTCTAAAACCTTTTCCTCCTGTGGAGATTTAGTTCCGTAAAGTACTCGAGTGTTTTTATGCTGGCTTGGCTCAGAATGATTTTAATCTCAGGGAACAGAGGCCAAGTTTTTATGTTATTATGTCTTTAACATAGAGTACATAGTCTAGCTTGTCACGTGGTACTATTGGAACATATTTACATCCATTCCTACTTCCTGTGGCAATGAATAAACGCTAAGTTGAATGCATGTTGCTAACAATACATAATATGGGCACGAGTGTACTTTCTGCAGACAGGAACTGAAGATAAAACAGGACCTTGATGCTGGGAGATAGAGTGAGCCCTTTCTCAGGCACACAGAATGCTCAGCACACCACGTTCTGAAGTAGAGATAACAGCTAACTAGAAATCAGCAATGGTCAAACATTCAAACATCTTATCCTGCAGTGTGAGATGAAGCCTGATTGTTGCCATTGCTGCAACAATGTTCCAGAAAGTGTTACATAAGTAATCCTGTTTTCATATATTACAATGTCTATTTCACACCATGCATTATTTAACTATAAAGGGAACATGAAATAGGTA